CCTGCGCGTCCGGAGCCTGTGCTCCGCAACGGGAGAGGCCACAACAGTGAGAGGCCCGTGTACCGCAAAAAAAATAAATAAATAAAAAATAAAAAAAAATAAATTAAAAAAACAGGTTCACTCAAATGTCTTGGTGGAATATGGAAAACAATAATTCCATCCAATAGAACTCTTTACAAATACTTTAAGTAAAGTCCATTTCAGTAAACTATTCATAACTAAATGATGTAGAATTTAAATCACAAAATCAGGTTATAAAGGACCTGAGAAGACAGCTAATTTACTCTCCAATGTAGAAACAGGCCTACAGTAAAAGCATGAATAAAAACATTGTTTTTCAAAACTGCTTAAAGTTTGGACTTGCGTTTTCCCTTCCAAAAAAAGAAAAGAACACAATTACTTTAGTTAGCTTTCTATATTGAAACTTGAAATAAGCCTGTTACAACACTGTGTTTTCATACCTTCTTCCTTACTCTTAGCTCATATGCATATACACACACAGAACTTTTTTAAGGTAAACTTTTGTGATTTCCCTTCTTAAATGTCCTCTGAAAGTACTAGTAAGCAAAAAGAAATTAAGCTGTAAGAATCATTAAGTCAAAAGAGTTACTATTACTCTCCTATATGATATATAATAAAGAATTTATTTATTTTATCTGGAGATTTCCAGTTATCTTGAATTGCTGACATGAAGAACTTTATCTAACAATTATTATAAAGAAAAACAAACAATTATTTGAGGAAACTAAGTAAGCTTCTGTCCCTAACATTTTACATTTTAAATATTTAAACACTAACTTAACATAGTCATCTAACAACCTACATTAAAAGGGCTCAATTTTGTAGTGTTTCAATTCTACAAAACGCAAAAGGAACAAACCCAATTAGCATGAAATATCAAGATGTTATTGAGCTAAAGTACTTGGTCCACAAAAATTATTCTCAGGAAATTCAACAAATGATAAATAAAACATAGGTTATTGCAAAAGGGGGGGGTATCAACTGTACTGCAAAGTAGTTTGGATACAACATGCATCCAACCATGTAACTGGTTCTTTTTATATATAACCCTATTACTGTGAGCTACTTAATGCAGTAAATACTAAAAAGACAGTTACTTTATAGCTAACCATTTAAAAATTGTTTTAATATTAATATATTCTTTCAACATTTTGACATCAATCCCTAAGTACATAAAACTCACAAGCATTCAAGAATGTCTATTCTGCAGAAGATCACAATCCTTTTCTAGGGTAGGTGAACTTCCGGCCATCATATCCACTCATTTAACACCGACTTTCAACAGAAGTTATAAAAATAACACTAAAAGCAGTTATTTCAGTATCTGAAAGCATAGGGATTAGATTTCACTTATCTGGTTGTAAAAAGGTAGGATTTTGTTTGCTTGGTTGGTTTATGATCAATACCCATACATATCTGATGGCATATCACCTCTCCTATTCTAATTACAGATTAGTTTGCAAAAGTGTGTTCAGTGTCTCTTCTCTCTTCTAATACTTTATAATTTAGCTTCTCTTTCAATTACAATTAAGAGTTCAAAGCATTTTTTCTTAGTCTTTATGTTTCATTTTCATAGATGAAAATAGAAGTTGGGGATGGGGAGTGTGTTCTCATTTGAAAATATACAAAAGGACAATCAAACTCTTAGGTACCCCATTACAAAGAAGTTTAAATTTCCTCTTTACAGCCAAGGACACTAGGAGGCACTCCATATTCAGCAACATGATTAGTGTAGACACTGCAAATTTGTTAAGTTAAATTTGAGATTCCTAAAAACTGAAGACAACATGTGTTAAGTACAATACAGCCATGTCTACAAAAATAAAAATCTAATCTTCCTCCTGGTTTTAACTTACTAGTCTACCTCCCTATAAAGCTGTATCTCCAAAATAAATTAAATTGGTTTGTGATTACCTTTACTATCCCATAGCATGCTTATGCTATAGTTATTTACAAATTATTAATCAATAGCCTACTCCAATCTCTCTTTCCCATCTTGCTCTCTCTCTTTTTTTAATGTCTGCCATTTGCCTGTGGTTGTATTTCAACATCATACCAACAAATAACATCTGAAAGGGTTAACATGAGCCCTCTGCCAGTCAGTAGAATGTAGGTCTAAGACCACTTTCAATGTAACGGCTTCCTACTATAGTTTATAGACTATTACAGAAGTTTAATAAGGGGCTCAATTCTCAAGACAATACAATGAGAGCTTTCCATCTGTATGAAAACTGTTGACTATTAATTTCAAACACATTTATAAACAAAGTTTGGTTTTCTTCTAGTCTTCAGAGGAAAAATGCTATGTGAATCTATATACATTTTTCTGCCACCTCCAGTCCTGAGGCAAATTTCTCCAAAGATTCTCTCTCTATAATGTGTGGATTATAATACAAACATGCCTATTCAAGAGAAAACCAAGGAAAAATTTTTAACAATTAATAAAATAACAGACATTTTTTTCCTTGGTGGTCCTCATTTTGAGCAGGTATATTACAAATGACATCAATTAATTGAGAATCTAACTTATACCAAGCGTATTTTACATGCATCATCTATAAACCTTAAAAAAAAAAAAAACCCTGCTGGGTCGGTATAAATGTCCCTACTGCACTGGTGAGCAAAGACACCAAGAAAGGCTAAAGATCAGAGAACTAACAAAAAGGGAACAGAACTCAGTTACTTTTCTATAGCAATAAAAATATTCTATACTATTGTGTACATTCTATTGTGTAGATTCTATACAAATCTTTGCATAAGTTATTTCCTCTACTTTGAATATGTTTCTAATTACCTTTTTTTAGTTAATTAATACTAGCCTTGACTAAATACAACATCTCTGAAATCCCTACAGGAATCATTTTCTCACATTTCTCCATTTTCAACGTGGCATGGCTTTTTCACTCCCAGTTATATTAGTGGATATTCTTCTCTATTCCCTTAATGCCCTTTGCATATGTAAATAACATAAAATATCACATAGAATTCTTTACCTGTTGCTTTCCCCCACTAAATTCATAATACTCCTTGATGACAAGAACAAGTACTTTCATCTTTTTATTCTTAGCACAGAGGATAGTGCTTAGAACTTAATAAATGTTGAAGAATAGAAGGCAACTGAATGGAACTTATTTTTGCTAGCTACATATTCATGGCTGATTTGTTTTTAACTTTTTACAGCTCACTATATACAGATTAAAAATTCCCAAATAAAGAAAGAGAACAAAAATAGATATGGAAAAGCAATGTTCTCCAAGATGTCTAAGAACCTCAACAATACTGTGCTAGACTATGCTGAAAACAGACAATTTTGCTTTCCATAAATCCAGCATAAGAAGCTAGATATGGATATGAAATATGAATCTGAGTTATTTTAAGAAGTCCTGAATGTACCTGAGATACGAGACATCCTTGTAGAAAAGTAACATTGCTCTAAGTCTTCAAAATGAGCAGTGAGTCGTTTTCGTCTTGATGCTAATGTGCTGTTATACCAGGGCTGTTTCTTTGTCTAAGGTAATAACAAGAAAAGACACTTGTAACTCAGAACATACCATACTATTTCTCTGCGCAGAATATCCAAATGCTTGAATATTTAATATCAAAAGTTCACATTAAAATACTTACAAATAGCAAAATCCTGTAGTTCTTAGACCATATTTCAAATTCTTATTTTAAAGGGAAAATAGGTCAATTTTATGAGAATAAAATGAGAAGCTTCTTTCAACTCTCCAAATTAAATGAAGACAGAATCTATTATAAGGGCTATTCTAAAAAGTAGAATTTTGAGAATTTTACTTAAATATGCATCAATTGTTAGAAAACAATTACCAAAAGAAAACTATTTACTGCTTCATCATCCCTATACTGCAACCTATACCTTGTGAATAACAGGAAGACTGCTTGGCTGTACAGAACAGGTATTTAAATTAACACTGATTATTAGGTTAAGGGGTAGTTAATATGTATAGTTTGACATATACATTAGAACACCCAAATAACTAAATCACATATATATATATATATATACATACACACACACACACACACACACACACACACACACACACACACACATATATATACTTAAAGAACAACAACAAATCTGAAATACACTGGCATATAAATCTTACTTAAAAAGTTTATAATCCTAAATATATAAGACTACCAACACCATGTTAATTAAAAGGGTATGAAAACCCTTCCACAAATGGTTACTATTATGCTTGTGGCACATTAACAGATAAAGAGATAAGACACATAATGAGATCCTATGATGACACAAGTTCACCAATAAGAATACCAGAACTGCAAATGTATTGCGTAAGAAATATTAAGTTACTACAATGAACAAAAAACACTTATCTAAAGTGAACTCCTGCTAAAAGTAGATGGTAACTAAGATATATTTTAAAGCTGTGCTTGGATCAAAAGAAAAAAAAGACTATTTTCCAAAAGATAAACAACCAAACAGGAAGCTGAACTCAGAGAGGTAACGGTAAACAAAATATAAGAGTGTAGAAAAGGGGAAACAAGGGGACAATCTGATTTGAGGACAAATACCTACAAAAGAACAAGTATCAGATTTGGAGAATAAAAAGAGAATTTGCAAAGTGGAAGATAAATCTGAAAGAATTATTACTCAAAATGAAGGAATAAAGTCAAGAAGAAAGAAAAATTTGTAAGAGAACAAAAGAGACATAGGAGACAGAATAATAAAGTTTATTCCAGAAAAAGATGTCAGAATAATAATAGTGAAGGTGATCCAGGACCTCGGAAAAAGAATGGAGACAATGATCGAGAAGATGTAAGAAATGTTTAACAAAAACCTAGAAGAAATAAAGAACAAACAAACAGAGATGAACAATACAATAACTAAAATGAAAAATACACTAGAAGAAATCAATATCAGAATAACTGAGGAAGAAGAATGGATAAGTGAACTGGAAGACAGAATGGTAGAATTCACTGTTGTGGAACAGAATTTTAAAAATGAATGAAAAGAGATGAAGACAGCCTAAGAGACCTCTAGGACAACATTAAACGCAAAGACATTTGCATTATAGGGGTCCCAGAAGGAGAAGAGAGAGAGAAAGAACCCGAGAAAATATTTGAAGAGATTAGAGTCAAACACTTCCCTAACATGGGAAACGAAATAAACACCCAAGTCCAGGAAGCACAGAGCATCCCAGGCAGGATAAACCCAAGAAGAAACACACCAAGACACATAGTAATCAAACTGGAAAAAAATAAAGACAAAGAAAAATTACTGAAAGTAGCAAGGGAAAAACAACAAATAACATACAAGGGGACTCCCGTAAGGTTAACAACTGATTTGCCAGCAGAAACTCTCCAAGCCAGAAGGAAGTGGCATGACATATTTAAAGTGATGAAAGGGAAGAAGTTACAACCAAGATTACTCTACCCGGCAAGGATCTCATTCAGATTTGATGGAGAAATCAAAAGCTTTACAGTTAGGAAAAAGCTAAGAGAATTCACCACCACCAAACCAGCTCTACAACAAATGTTAAAGGAACTTCTCTAGGTGGGAAACACAAGAGAAGAAAAGGACCTACCAAAACAAAACACAAATTAAGAAAATGGTAATAGGAACATACATATCAATAATTACCTTAAACGTGAATGGATTAAATGCTCCAATGAAAAGATACAGGCTTGCTGAATGGATACAAAAACAAGACCCATATGTATGCTGTCTACAAGAAACTCACTTCAGACCTAGGGACACATACAGGCTGAAAGTGAGGGGGATGGAAAAAGATATTCCATGCAAATGGAAATCAAAAGAAAGCTGGAGTAGCAATACTCATATCAGATAAAATAGACTTTAAAATAAAGAACATTATAAGAGACAAGGAAGGACACTACATAGTGATCAAGGGATCAATCTAAGAAGAAGATATAACAATTATAAATATATATGCACCCAACATAGGAGCACCTCCATATAAAAAGCAACTGCTAACAGCTATAAAAGAGGAAATCGACAATAACACATACTATCTCACACCAGTCAGAATGGCCATCATCAAAAAATCTAGAAACAATACATGCTGGAGAGGGTTTGGAGAAAAGGGAAAACTCTTGCACTGCTGGTGGGAATGTGAATTGATACAGCCACTATGGAGAACAGTATGGAGGTTCCTTAAAAAACTACAAATAGAACTACCATATGACCCAGCAATCCCACTACTGGGCATATACGCTGAGAAAACCATAATTAAAAAGAGGTCATGTACCAAAATGTTCATTGCAGCTCTATTTACAATAGCCCGGAGATGGAAACAACCTAATTGTCCATCAACGGATGAATGGATAAAGAAGATGTGGCACATATATACAATGGAATATTACTCAGCCATAAAAAGAAACAAAATTGAGCTATTTGTAATGGGGTGGATAGACCTAGAGTCTGTCATACAGAGTGAAGTAAGTCAGAAAGAGAAAGACAAATACCGTATGCTAACACATATATGTGGAATTAAGGAAAAAAATGTCATGAAGAACCTAGGGGTAAGACAGGAATAAAGACACAGACCTACTAGAGAATGGACTTGAGGATATAGGGAGGGGGAAGGGTAAGCTGTGACAAAGCGAGAGAGAGGTATGGACATATATACACTACCAAATGTAAGGCAGATAGCTAGTGGGAAGCAGCTGCATAGCACAGGGAGATCAGCTTGGTGCTCTGTGACCGCCTGGAGGGGTGGGATAGGGAGGGTGGGAGGGAGGGAGACGCAAGAGGGAAGAGATATGGGAATATATGTATAACTGATTCACTTTGTTATAAAGCAGAAAATAACACCATTGTAAAACAATTATATTCTAATAAAGATGTAAAAATAATAATAATAGTGGGGGACTTTAACACCCCACTTACACCAAATGACAGATCATCCAAACAGAAAATTAATAACGAAACACAAGTTTTAAATGACACAACAGACCACACAGATTTAATCGATATTTATAGGTATTTAATATTTAATAATATTGATATTTAATTGATTTCTTTCCATCCAAAACCAGCATATTACACTTTCTTCTAAAGTGTACACAGAACATTCACCAGGATAGAACACATCTTGGGTCACAAATCAAGCTTCAGTAAATTTGAGAAAATTGAAATCATATCAAGCACCTTTTCTGACCACAAGGCTACGAGATTAGAAATCAATTACAGGGTAAAAAAAAACGTAAAAAACACAAACACATAGAGGCTCAACAATATGTTACTAAATAACCAAGAGATCACTGAAGAAATCGAAAAGGAAATCAAAAAACAGCTGGAGACAAATGACAATGAAAACCCGACAATCCAAAACCTATGGGATGCAGCAAAAGCAGTTCTAAGAGGGAAGTTTATAGCAATACAAGCCAACCTCAAGAAACAAGAAAAATGACAAATAAAAAATCTAACCTTACACCTAAAGGAACTACAGAAAGAAGAACAATCAAAACCCAAGGTTGGCAGAAGGAAAGAAATCATAAAGATCAGAGCAGAAATAAAAGAAATAGAAACAAGGAAAACAAGAGCAAGAGATTGTGATTGACATGTATACACTTATGTGTATAAAATGGATGACTAATAAGAACCTGCTGTATAAATAAATAAATTAAAATTTAAAAAAAATTTTCAAGAGATGCATAAAAAGCATCTGACAAAATTCAACACCTATACATGTTAAAATTTCTCAACAAATTAGGAACAGAAGGAAACTTCCTCAACTTGATATAGGGCATCTACCAAAATGTAGAGCTAACATATAAGTTGAAGTATAAGGGGGAATGGGGAGGGAAAAAGAGGAAAAAGAAGAGAAGGGAGATGGGGCGAGGGGAGAGGAGGGGAGGGAAGAAGGAGAGGAAAAGGGGGGAAGAGGTGAGGAGAAACAGAAAAGAACATACAAAGATTAGAAACGGCAAAAATATCTTCTTGCTGATCATATGATTTTACATAGAAATTCCTGAGAATCTACAAAACTACTAGAATTAATAAATTTAGAAAGAAAATTAATAAATTTAGCAAGCTAATAAGAAACAAGGCTAACATACAAAAATCAATTCTACGTTTATATATTCACAACAAAGTAGAAAATAAAAATTTTAAAATAATTGTATCAATAATAGCATCAAAAAGAATTAGAAATTTAATGAAAGCATGGAAGACCTCTATATCACAAACACAAACACTGCCAGGAGAAATTTTTAAAGGACCAAAATAGATGGAAAGATATACCATATTCATGGACTGGAAAGCTCAATATTGTTCGTGTGTTACCATTATGGTAACTGGGTAAATGGTACAGGGGCTCTCTCTGGTTTGTTCGGTATATTTATGCTTTTTGTTTTGTTTTGGCTGTACCACGCAGTCTGTGCAATCTTAGTTCCCCAACCAGAAATGGACTGAATCCAGGCTGCCAGTAGTGGAAGCATGGAGTCCTAACCACTGGACCACCAGGGAATTTTCATGGGCTCTCTCTGTATTGATTT